ACTTTCTTCCATTCTGTGTGCTGTAGACATATAAAGAGTTCACATATTGAAGGTTGCTGGTCACCTTATATGTGTCGTAGCCCTTATTAAATTATTTCTTCCTTGAACTTTTGGAGCAGGACGTCAAAGTTAGTACATATTTCCGTTTAGAAGAAAAATAAGTCTTTGCTTTCGGAGAATGAATGACTTTATACCATTTTATGCAAACATGGCAGAGGCATTGCATATTACCTGGCTATTATAAAAGGGGGTTGTGATTTGAAAAAGGTTAGGAACCACTGCTCTAGTGACATGACAGCATCCTTTTATCACACCTGAGAGCAGCAGAATTGCTTATAGGATACACCGCAGGACAGGCTGTTCACACATACAGGGTTCTTTCCTCTGATTGTTTGCCACCACAACTTTCCAAGAGGACCTTTTCATGTGAGGTAGTTTTTCTTTTAATCTAATGGGAGAACTGGCTCTGCCCATAACTTTTCATTTTCTCTTGTTCCATTTTTCTCCACAGATTAAATAAATCATGGGAGGGGAACATGATGACTCTGTGGTTGTGGGACTACAAACTCTCATAGGACTTCGCCAGCATACTGCCTGCTCTTCTCCAAGCTTGCTAAAACATGGTATTCCAAAGCTAACACTTTTAAATATTTCTACTTTAGAGCAATGGTTTACAATTTTGGGCCCCTAGGTGTTCTTGAAATAAAACTCACAGAAGCCTTCACCATTAGCTGTGCTGGCCAGGATTTGTAATCGAAGAACTGGGGACCCTGTACTTCCACTGTGGACTATGGCAATCTGAAGAATCCAAAGAACTAAAGTACAGTGGTGCCTCGCTTAACGAGCGCACCATTTAACGAAGAATCCGTATAGTTTAATGCGTTCCAATAGGCTTTCCTTACCCGCACAGCGATGTTTTCGTATAGCGAAGGTTAATCTGGAACGGATTAACCTCGCTATACGGGGCAGCACTGTATTGGGATGAAAATTGTATTCCAATGGCCAGATTAGCACAATCTGCTCTTCACATGTATGAAAGCAAGCAAATTAAAAAGTATACTGAAAGATGGAATCTACCTTGTTCTTTCATTTATCATTTGGGTGATAAAACACAAAAGAAGCTTCGTAAGGTATATTAAATAACATAGGACTCTTGTAGAGGATATGAGGTATAGTTGCTATAATCTGATTCCAAATCTCAAACTCAGTTGAACCTTAATCATAGCATTCTAAACAGACTCTCTCCATATAATTTTTGGAGCCTCTTGGGAAGTACAGATTGGATGCCTTAATTTCAGAACCAGGGATTTTTACAGTTTTGGGCTATCAGAGGAATACAGTTCCCGTTTCCTTGGAAGACATTATCTGCACAGTCTGATCCATGTATGTTTACTTAGAATTAACATTTATTGGGTTTAACATCACTTAATCCTAGGTGTCCATAGGCTTGTAACCTGAAAATATATATACATCTCTTTGAAAAACCATTCAGAGCTCTAAAAAACTGTGCTTTGCTCTTTCTTTTTCAATCCCATACACATTTTATACTTCTCACCCTTTCAAAAAGAACACGCATCACAAAAATGCACTTAATACAGGTTTTGTTAATATACTCAGAGAGAGATAAAGGTCAACAATTATAGTTAGAATCCATCTGAAAAATTCTGTCGCTTAACTCTATTGGATTAAATTTTGGCTGCAAATTGGTGCATATTAACAAGTTGGCATAGACATTTTACCATGCATCAAATAAGACAAATGGTGTGAGACAGTAAATGCTGATCTTGGTGTCTTAATTTGTGGCAATTCACAGTGATGGAATTAAGCCAGCACGTGTGGCTAACAGGATTCCAGTCGTTCTTCTAAGACAATTTCTCAAAAACAGCTTTTAACATTTTCCATTTAAGAGAAGGATGAATGTACCTACAGACAAATCCTATGCAATTTATTCAAGATTATGTTTATGCACACTTAATTGGGAGTAGAATCCCAACAAACTCAATAGATGTGAGGAGGAACCACCTCAAGCACCCACAACAGAGGGATGTGAGACAGCGTATACACTGATACCAACAGTGGCCCAACTGAGAATGGATGAGAAAAAGAGTAGGAAAGAGGAGCGAGAGGGAGGTGAGAAAGAGGAGGAACCAATAGTAGAGGGATATCTGGTCAGTGTCTCCATATTTAGTTTGTACAATGGCTTCCTGATTTTCATACAGTGATTTCACCAATTTCACCAAATGTAGTGGCACCCCAAGATCTTCTAGGGCTCTCCATAGTTTGTCATGGTCAACACAGTCGAAAGTTTTCCTATAATGAATGAAGTACATGTAGATATTATTTTGATGCTCATAACATTTTCCCATTATCCATTGAAATGTGCAATGTGATCACAGGTGCCACAACTGTGATCGAAACCAGCTTGGGCATCTGGCAATCCTTTCGATGACTGGTGCCAGGTATTGCTGTATAGAGCAATCGTGCAATAGTCAGAACAATCACATTTTTTGGTAATGGAATAAACAGTTTGTTTCCAGGTTTGTGGCCATGTGTTGGTTTCCCAAATTTTCTGGCACAAGACTCTAATAATTGTCATTGATACTGGCTTCAGCAATTCTACAGGGGTGTTATTAACCTCTGGAGCTTTGCTATTTAGCAGCTGGTTCATTGCCCACATGACCTCTTCATCAAGTATAGCTGCTTTTGTTCTATTTCCTTCCCCTCCTCAATTTGATGTTACCCCTCTTTCTTGGTGGCATACAGTTCTGCCATATATTCTCACCATCTGTTCTTATTGGTCAGACAATTCTTTCTCTTGCATATCCTTGATAACACCTTTGTGAGCCATGAATGACACAGTGGTGCCTTGACTTATGACTGCCCTGACATACAACCATTTCAAGTTGCGACCAGCTCTGGCTGCAAAATTTTGCTTTGACTTGCGGCCGGAGCTTCGAGTTGCAAATAGAAAAGAGGTGGGGGGAAAAGGCGGGGAATTCCAATGTAGGTATTAACCGTTGGTCAGCGAAGAGCGTCTTTATATGTAGCTCTTTTGCCCCAACGGTTAGAGTGTGTGCATCAAAGGAGGCTTTGAACTGCCTGGTGCTGCTTTCTGCTCCTGAGTAAGTACATTTACTTTGTTTTGCAGGGTGGGTTTGGGGGGGGTTATGTTTCTGTGCTGTGATGCTTTTTGGTTTTTTTTCCCCAGCCCCATCGTGTTCCAATGGGGCTTGCTCTGTTTGGTTGTTGTGAGGGGGTTGTGATTTTTTTTCAGCTGGCTGTGTGTGTCTCTGTGTGTTTTGTGATTTTTTTTCAGCCCCATCGCGTACCAATGGGGCTGGTGTGTGGGTGGGTGTGTTTTTTTGTGATTATTTTCCAGCCCTATCACATTCCG